GGAGAAGACGATGGTCCTTTCTTCCTATCCCGACTCCACGACCAACTGGAGCCTCTGCTTTGACTAGGGCTATAACTGTTGGGCCGGGCTGCTCTGTTTCAACAAGTATTGGAGTTCATTGGATCTTCCAGGAGCTTCAGTTTCATCCACTCACACTCTGGTTCGTCCACCTTTCGCTAAGTTAGAAAACACACCCCAAGACTGTGCGGAAGGTGGCACTCACAGGATAGCACCTTTAACGAGAACATGTTTAAGCTAGGAAGGAGGGTGGTCCTCTGGGCTCTGTGACGGAAAAAATGTATATATGTACTTGTACTACATTCTGTTGAAGTTCCTACGGCCGGGACCAGACTGTGTCCATCTGTGAGATGGGCCGTCCGATAAGCAGTGAATTTTTCAGCCTCTATCGACGGTTTGCCTGGAAACACGACTGAAAAAAAGGCAACACAGGCAGTGCGACTATATATCTCACCGCAAAAAGAAAACGAAGGAAACACACACCAACACTCAGTATCTGCAATACTAAAGAAACCACTATAGGCTGATCACTTGAACGGGAGGCCCATATGGATGCCAATCAGAGATCTTTCTGATCTGCCAGCGATTTGGGCCGCCCGTTCAAGTGATTGGCATGGCATCCAGGCTGTTCCTTGTGGAGGCACGTTTTGGGTGTTTGCCGCCCTGCTGTCGAACGCCCCGTTTGTTTTCTTTTTTTTTTCGGTTGTTTTTTTGCTGCTGTTTTTTTTTTTTTTTGTCCAACGCCCCACGGGTACTGGTCGCCCGTTTTTTGTCGTTGTCGAACATGCCGCTAGGTTTTCTGTGGGCGGCCGGGAATATGAATTGGGCAGTTCGTCTCGCTGCTCTTCGCTGGTCTAGCTTTGGTCGAGCTTGGGCTGCCTGCTGTAGCGCCACGCGACCTACATGTCTACGCAACCGACCGACTGGCCTAGGTGACCGAGGGCCTGGCTCCACTACTCTCGACATGTGCAAAACAAGAGTGAATCTTCCGCTAGAACATGGAAATGGACACCGCCATGATTTTTGTCTTTTGTGCCCGTCGAGAGTTGTGTGGAGCGAGGCCCCTAGGCGACCTATGCGACCTACCTACCGCCTACGCGACCCATGCGACCTGCCTACGGCCTGCCTACTGTAGCTCTCTCTCTCTCTCTCTCTCTCTCTCTCTCTATCTCTCTCTCTCTCTCTCTCTCTCTCTCTCTCTCTCTCTCTCTCTCTCTCTCTCTCTCTCT